GCCCGGCCGCCCCCCCGGCCGCCCGCCCCCCCCCCCCGCCGCCCCCCCCCCCCCCGCGCCCCCCCCCCCCCCCCCCGCCCCCCCCCCCAGCTCAACGTCAAACTTTTGTTTTCCTTGCTTCCAATCGCGCCAATAGCATTAGTTGACACCGCCGAGACAAATCGTTCGGGGTGTGGACCCAAATTTGTTTGTTTGTTTGTTTTCTTAAAAAAAAAAAAATGCTGTTCCGAACTTTTGCTTAGTCCCCCAAGGGGTGACCTGACCTGTGTGTCTGTCCCTCGTATGGTTGCATTCAGTGGCTAAGTTCAGGGGCTGAATCTTACCGGCCCCCAACCTTAGATGAGCTGACAAGGTTTTCTATGGCTTTTAATGTCTCATCGAGACTGGACGGCGGGCCGAAACGACTTTCTTTGCCTCTCAATTAACGGCATAGGACCCGAGCAGAGGACTTTGGTGTCTACTCCCGACGAGGTCTTGTAGGGAATAAGACGACGTCGGTCTAGGGACGCCATTCGAGGAGCGTTGGAACTAGAAGAAAAACGGGCTGTTGCCGACTAAAGAGAGGACGAGGACGGGATATCTGAAGCTTGAGCAAGAAGCAGGTAAAGAAGGAAAAATAAGCATAAACCCGATAAAAAGGCTCACAAGTATTTGAAGACTTGTCGAAGAGCTCGGCAACGACAGAGCTAGGTTAGTAGAACTGCGCCTGTAGAGGGTCGGAATTTGACTCATTGAATTCACTGCGGAATTACCAAAATGAAACTGCATTATTGAAGCCCGGACTGGATTGCTATTGTTCGCATCTAGGGGGAACATCGAACATCCCTTAATGATGGGCGCAACCAGCGAACGCGCAATTCGCCTCGTGTCCATCCCGTTTGATCGCGAACCCCTTCAGGGATCCCATGCCGCGTGAAATCATTGATACCTATCCAAGGTGGAAAGACATACCAATCAAGTAGTCCGGGTGTCGCGACGCAATCGCTATAAGACAACCATTGTAAATGGGTCATTGGGAAGATACGATGGCATGATCGATATTAGTCCCACAACAAATGTATTCGCCTTGCTCGTGGTTTGGTCATCTTCAACGCCTATAGGAACAACTAGAGCATAGATCAAAGTGTTTGAGGATTGCAAACAATATCTCATTTTTCTTGCCATTCGATCTGAACTTGGCCATGGCGGACCGAGGAGGCATCATAGGACGACTCACCGATGAAGGCCAACATGTCTTCGTGGCTCAGTTGGCTAGAGCGTTGGTCTCATATTCAATATGACCCAGTCCCAGATTGGGTGATCCAAAGGTCGTGAGTTCGAGCCTCACCGAGGACAACATTTTTCCCCGCCTGACGAAGGTGACTTTCCTCTTTTTTTTACCTTTTTCTTTTCGGGTTGGGCACCGGGTCCGGAAAAAAAGCTTATCAATCAATCAATGCGTATTTCGGATTTCATGCATTATTACCTTATACCTTATACATTGCATTTCCGGTTGAATGAATGCTTTTCAAGGAATCAACCACAAAGCGAGTGTCGGTGCCGGATCCGTCCTCATAGCACGGAAGAAGCGATTCCTCATGCGGAATCCATTATCTAGTAGATGGATATAAAGATGATAAGATGATAGGCAGGTTGACATTCCGTACATCGTGTGCCAGCATGACACAATTCTTGGGCGCAAAGCATACCTACTAGGTAAGGTAGGTAACCTGGAACCTAAGTATGCAAAGATTTGCGTGAGGCCTGGATATCTGGAATGGAAATCTGAAATTATCCGAGACGCCTTTATTATCTCCATCCATGGCTTTGGTTAAGGGCAACCATGGCTACCATATGCATGGAAAACGTTGGTACGCGTAGACGCGAAGTGCACGTCATTCTTGGGCCAGCTTCTTGAAATGAAGCGAGCCGGGATGAGACGGGACTTGGAAGCAATGCGTCTATTAGTGGACTTCCATGTCTCTTGCTAAGTAATTAGGTAGGCAAGTAGGTATTTCAACTGATTGGTGCATGTGATTACAAGTCCATAGATAGGTAAGGTGTTGGTCATCATACGTGGACACTTCCATGGATAGGACAGGACTCGGGGGCGGGACACATGTCAGCACTGAGCAGCAGCAGCTCGGCCCTAACCCAGGCAAGTGGCAAAACTGGCAGCGAAAGCAGCCAAGGCCCCATAAATATCGGCATTCCCGCCTTCTGAGTCGTCAATCCTACGAAGCTTGAGACGACGGCGGACTAAACATAAGAATGGAGATCTGTTGAAGACGCTGGAGCCCTCGATCTTGCGGCGATCTGCGGATTGCGGATTTGCGGATTTGGTAACGATCAGTAACATGGAAGTGAGTAACATGAAAGCTGTGCACTTTTGCAATGTCAGTGACCGTAGGGGATGGAGGCTGCTACACCTTGTGGCAGTGGCCCCCAATGGCATCAAGGGATTTATTATGGCCTACCTACCTACCTAGTTATCTGTAGGTATACCGAAGAAGCGTCGCTGGAGGTCAGTCACACGGTGTCGCAAATAGAAAGGGGCCTTGGCGGGTCTCCATTCCAACATGGAACTTATTGCGCCGGTTCAGTAAGTACCTATCTAGAGGTAAGCATCTTCTAGTGCAGGCACGTCTCGTCTACGTGTACGCATCGGCCGTGCTTGCCTTAACGCGACTGCCAACACTCATTGAAGCTCGTAGGTCGGGTAGATACCTATCTAGTAGGTAGCACCTACCTGTATATCAGGCCCTCCGAATGTGCCTTCCGCGGAGTGAAAAGTTGAGCTGGGTGATGTGGCGGTGCGGGCTTGTCGAATTCACGATGTTATTTGCACCAAAAGAGGCTAGCGTACTAAAATGTACTCCAGATGTGTCGCACTTTTGGAGTAAGAAAGATGTACAGACTCATGAGGTGCTCATTATGTACAGCCGCAGAGACATCTACATCAACATCAGCCCTCCCTTCGGCGAACCGTAGTGTCCCCTAGTTTCGTCGGGCCACCTCCCTGTACCTCTGCGGTAAGTTCCACTTCCGGACTCCTGATCATCTCACCCGACTCCCGTCGCTCTAAACTCAAACCCCAACCCCCATTAATGGTCATCTACCATCCTGAATTCAAATTGTCCCTTATGAAACGTGCGGCTAACAAGTTCCTAGTGGCCATTTGTAACCTGGTTCATCCGGTAGATACTTTCACCAGGCTTCTTCCCTTCAATCGCAACACCGTCGGGTACCGGTAGTTTCGGCAGACTTCAACGAACCATCTGGCGCCAGCGATACCTCTGGGTACCTACTTCAATCAGAGTCTTTCTGTAGTGGATAGCCGGCAATCCCGACCTCGACACTAGACCAGGATTGTACACTAAGGGCACTACCGCAGTGCAGATTTCAGTCGGCTCTTCTGCTGGACAAGCCGACGACGGCCTTCAAATTGGTCCGCGCCAGACGATCGAAACATATTGCCAACGACAATGATGCCCTAGCACGACGTTTTGCGACTTCAGATTTCAGATCCCACCCGTGCCCGTGCTTTCGGCCCCATTTACTTCTACCGCTCTTGTTTGAGCGACCGCCGCGCCCATCCTGACTCGTGCCGAGAATTCATAACCCCTTGACCGGGCATTCCTGATAGGAGGCATTCCGTTCTGTTTGTTAACTGCCGGGTAAGCATTTTCGAATCTGTACTGACGTTGCCGCCCTTTGTCGCTCCCGTCAAACCACACAAGACCACTATCGTATCTCCGGTCTGGAATTCGCGCGTAGTCATACCAGCCTCCGGCGATGCAAATCTCACCCTGTTGTTTAAGCAAGGAGATCACGAGCATCTTAGTCGCGGTCATACATAGACGCCCTAGAAAGTCTATTTCGTCGATGACACCCTGTAGCTAATATCATCTAGATCGCAAGGCTTTGAGTCTTATTTTGTCCTGGGCGGACTTCCGCTTTAGTGATACGACCGATTACCGAACGTTAGCGAATGGGATTAATATGGTCTCCTATTGCCGACCAGTTGGTTTCTCGGAACGAAGGGGAAGTCCCATGAGCGGCAGTGAAGAATTGGCTCTGAATAGGCCCGGCGCCGACTCAGTGGTTGCGAATCAGAGAATGGATAAGATGACCCAGTCGAGACCTCGCGGGCCGCCCACCCCGAGCATGAACACTCCAGCGCCCGAATTTGACCAGCAACAACCTACCGGTTCTCCGCCACCTCCGCCTACGCCAGCCGCCTCCCCTAGACCCATTATCGCGGAACCCGAGTGGAACGAACCTCCCGATGACGACGATGACTTCTTCCTTGCTCATATCCGTCATCATTTCGAGACAGCTAGCGGCCCCCGCCGGAATAGGCTCCTCGCCGACTTGCTTCGAATGTGCACAACCCAGCAGCTGAGCTTTGTACACCAAACCGTAAGCCCGCTATTAAAGAAGGATCCATTTACAAGCTTACCAAATGAATTATGCCTGAGAGTTTTGTCCTTTATTGACGACCCTCAAGTCTTGGCACGGGCCTCCCAAGTGTCAAGGCGGTGGAGAGACCTGCTTAGTGATGACGTGACTTGGAGGCATCTCTGTGTCAAACATGACTATAGCCGATGTCTCTCGGACGCTTCATATCGCACACCAGCATATGCAACTGGCCGGCCCGGTGCTGTGCCGCCGGCTGGTTACGAGTACGCGAGCCAGAGCTTCGCAAACAATCTGCCTGGCCCGTCTTCATTACACAATGCCTCTACACATAACGACGGATCTACCAGTGCCGGATCGGTCTCCCGACCACATATACGATCATACAAATCTCGTTTCAAGCAAAGATATCTTGTAGAGTCGGCTTGGAGGACCGGTGGGCGGAACACGACTCGCACCATTACGCAAGACGGGAGAGTGGTCACCAGCCTACACTTGACGCCAAAGTACATCGTTGTGGCACTCGATAATGCCAAAATTCACATTTTTGATCGCGAAGGGAACGCGCTTCGAACACTCGGGGGCCATGTAATGGGCGTATGGGCCATGGTACCATGGGAAGATACTCTGGTGAGCGGAGGTTGTGACCGAGACGTACGAGTTTGGGATATGACCACTGGGTAAGACTGGCACCATTCCGAGGATGACGACTAGTGATCTCGGCTAATCAGTCCCATAGCGAATGCCTCCATATACTGCGTGGCCACACCTCGACTGTACGCTGTCTCAAAATGTCCGATGCCAACACGGCCATCTCCGGCTCGCGAGATACGTTCCTGAGGGTTTGGGACATTAAAACAGGCGTGTGCAAAAGCGTTCTCGCGGGGCACCAGGCCAGCGTGAGATGCCTAGAGATTAAGGGAGATATCGTCGTATCTGGTAGCTACGACGCCACGGCCAAGATTTGGAGCATCTCGAAAGGACGATGCTTGCATACTCTTAGTGGCCATTATAGCCAAATCTATGCAATCGCATTCGATGGCCAAAGAGTCGTGACCGGTAGTCTCGATACCAGTGTTCGAGTCTGGGATGCGCGGACTGGGTAAGTCTAATATCATGTGGCACGGTATACCTTGTGTTGTAGCAAAATGTTGCTGACCTGCCCAACAGTGAGCCCATCGCTCTTCTACAGGGACACACCTCCTTGGTCGGCCAATTGCAATTGCGCGGAAACACCCTAGTCACAGGAGGGTCTGACGGATCCGTCAGAGTTTGGTCCCTTGAGAAAATGTGCCCAATTCATCGGCTCGCCGCACATGATAACAGTGTCACAAGCCTTCAATTCGACGATACTCGAGTTGTCAGCGGTGGTAGTGACGGGCGGGTTAAAGTCTGGGACTTAAAGACGGGACATTTAGTTCGAGAGCTGATCGCGGCCGAGTCTGTCTGGAGAGTCGTATTTGAGGAGGAGAAGTGTGTTGCTGTGGCTAACAGAGGAAGCCGAGTCATGATGGAGGTATGTGATGCTATGATGCCAAAGCTGAATCCCTATGTGAAAGTCTAACTCGAGTAGGTCTGGTCATTCTCGCCCCTGGAAGACGCCTACTACGAAATGCCAACCCCGTTGCATCAGCGGTCGTCTAAGGCGCCGCAACCTTTATCTGTTAGTTACCCACAGCCGACCCTCGGCCTACGCTCGACGTCGCAAGTGGATCCCAACGACCACGACGTCGAGATGGGAGAAGCCGGTCCGTCGACCGCACCGTTAGGGGGAAACACGTTTTCACAAATGATGCTGTGATCCGGTCACCGTACCGTAAGAGTCCTTTTTGTTCATGGCTGGCTCCCTAACATCTCTAGCCTAAACCAATGCGCTAGTTTGACTGTATGCATCGCAGGCGTTCTAAAGGGTGATGAGATTATCAGAGAAGTTGGTT